TGATCTCTGAGAGGGATTTAAACTAGCAACTTTTTTACAAAAACTAACTTTTTCAACTTAATTTTTGAAAATGTTCCGGAAATACTGTGTCCTTTAAACATATATCAAATCAAAGGTTATGTCATGTACTATATAATTAAAAAAAAAATTTTGACCTCTAGTCTTATCTTCGTGGTGAAAACGGACATAAAAATTAAAGAAAAACGTACGATTTCCGTGAAAAAATTGTCGATTTTATATTAATAAATTTATATTGCTATAACTTTTGGAAAAATGTATGGATCAATATTATTTTTTTATAGATAATTTTTATATACCCCTTTCATCTGACACGCTTTTTTTGTAAATCGGATCATATCCCTTTATATAAAGGGGGGGGGGGTCAAAACTTTGAACATGCGTATTGAAACTTGGACATTTTCAATTTAATTTTTAAAATGTTCCAGAAATACTGTCACTTTTATATGGATCTTAAATTAAAGCTTATGTAATATACTTTAATTTGAAAAAAAAAAAAATTTACCTCTGGATTTGTCTACATGGTAAAAATGACTACCATATTCAAAAATATGCTATTTTTGTGTTAAAATTCTGGGTTTTGTATTTTATTTTATTTTAAAATACCTGACAAGCAGAGTACAGATTTTCATTAATATTATATAAATAAAAAATTGATACAGCAAAGAAAGTTAAACTTATTTAAATTTTTTTGCTTTTTGAAATTGAGAAAAATAACTTTGAAATTTGAACTAGCGACGTACGGTTGCCAGGTCTGTAAAACTTGAGTTTTAAGCGCTTTAGGTACAAGATTCCAACCCGCTTATGGCAATGAATTTTTTGCATTTTTTCTAAATTCTTTTTAAGTTGGAATAAATTTTCAACTGCTTTGATTTTTATCTCATTTAAATTCAATAACTTGAATAAAGATCAAGGATCCCATCACTGTAGAGCCACTCGCGAGTAGAAATTTTTTATTCATATTAAAATTATTTTACTTTATTTTAAGTTTTAGCTTCGATGCAAAGCTGAGAAGATATTATTTTGTGACTATGATTTATTTTCTCTGCTCTAACTTGACCTACTTTTTTCAACATTACGTTAGGACCAAAAAAATAGGTTAAAAATGAAATTTTGGACTGATTATTTTTAATATAATAAGAATCAAAATCAGTAATAATTTGAAAACAAATTTTTTTATTCTTTTGATTATTTTTTTATATGTAATTAGTAATAATATAAAAAATTAGAAGTGATAGAAAAAGTCTTATTGCAGATTTGAAAACAGCGCGAAAGTTGATTTAGAGAAGTATATTTTTGCTTCTGATGAAAGTTCCTTATAGTCCAGTGTATTTATTCATAAGTAACAAAAGTTTTTTATTAAAAAGTATTGCATCAATCCTTTTAAATTTTTATACGCGTTAAAAGTATATGAATATAACTCTTTTATTTTTATAATATTTCCGTAAAAATTACAATATTATATTATTGAATATCAATTGTATACTAAATTTAATTACTATAATTATTATGTATTCATATATTATAATTATAAATCGGGATAAAATTAAGGGAATAAGAGTAATGGTTGCTTTTGAAATAATCTACCAATCTCTTAAAATTAAACATTATCTACAGATTTGCATCGAAGCTTTTCTTATGATAGTGATTTTAATCACTGACAGATATCACCTATACTTGTCCCAAATATGCCTCATCCACACTGTACCTCGACCCCACTGTGCTACCGTTTTTTTTTTGCATAATAAAGTAAATTACATTAGCTTTAATTTAAGATATATATAAAAGTGTCAGACATTCCGGAACACTTTCAAAAGTTAAATTGAAAAAGTTCTACTTTCTACATGCATTTTTTAGATTTGAACCCCCCTCAAATATAGGGAAATGGTCCGATTTAAAAAAACAGTATGTCGAATGAAATATGTATATAAATACTACTTCTCATGAAAAATTATATTGATCCATAGTGTTTAATTTTAAAAAATTGGTGGATTATTCCAAAAGCTTCATAAACTGCTAGTTCCTTATTAATATCCTGATTAAGATAAAGTATGTCGAATGAAAAAAGGATTATTAAAAAATAGTATTTCCCATAAAAAAATTATATTGATCAATACACTTTTCAATAAGTTATAGCATTATAAAATTAAAAATGTAAAAAATAAAATTGAGAATTTTCACACAATAATAGCATTTGGTAGCCATTTTCACCTTGAAGATAAAATAAAGTCCGAAATTTTTTTTTTTCATAATAAAGCATATTACATTAGCTTTAATTTAAGATATATATAAAAGTGTCAGACCTTCCGGAACACTTTCAAAATTTAAGTTGAAAAAGTCAATTTTTTGTGAAAAAGTTGTCATTTTGAATCCCCCCCTGTAGGCAGGTAAAAAGTCAGATTTATAAAAAAAATATACCAAATGATAGGTAAAGACATCATGCATCTACAAAAAAAAGAATTATATTGATCCATACATCTTTCGAGAAGTTATAGCATTATAAAGTTAAAAATATAAAAAAGAATTTTTTTACAAAAATCGTATTTTTTTTATTAAGTTTAATGTCTGTTTTCACCATGAAGATAAAATAAAGTCCGAAATTTTTTTTTACCATAATAAAGTAAATTACATTAGCTTTAATTTAAGATATATATAAAAGTGTCAGACATTCCGGAACACTTTCAAAAGTTAAATTAAAAAAATNCCGGAACACTTTCAAAAGTTACGTTGAAAAAGTTCTACTTTCTATATGCATTTTTATGTTTTGAACCCCCCTCAAATATAGGGAAATGGTCCGATTTAAAAAAACAGTATGTCGAATGAAATATGTATATAAATACTACTTCTCATGAAAAATTATATTGATCTCATACATTNAAAAAAAAACGCTTCGATGCAAATCTTTAGATAGTGTTTAATTTTAAAAAATTGGTGGATTATTCCAAAAGCTTCATAAACTGCTAGTTCCTTATTAATATCCTGATTAAGATAAAGTATGTCGAATGAAAAAAGGATTATTAAAAAATAGTATTTCCCATAAAAAAATTATATTGATCAATACACTTTTCAATAAGTTATAGCATAATAAAATTAAAAATGTAAAATACAAAATCGAAAATTTTCACTCAAAAATAGCATTTGGTAGTCATTTTCACTGTGAAGATAAAATAAAGTCCGAAATTTTTTTTTTTCATGATAAAGTATATTGCATTAGCTTTAATTTAAGATATATATAAAAGTGTCAGACCTTCCGGAACATTTTCAAAAATCAAGCTGAAAAAATTAATTTTTTGTGAAAAAGTTGTCATTTTAAATCCCCCCCCGCGGGCAAGTAAAGTGTCACATATAAAAAAAAAATATACCAAATGAAAGGTAATGATATCATGCATCTATATAAAAAAAAGTCATATTGATTTGGTTATTTTTAAAAAAGTTTAAATACGATTTGTGATCTTTTGACGTATCATTGAAAGNCCCCCTTTTACGGGGAACGAGGGAATTTTTTTCAATTTTTAAGGGTAATGTCTTCGACTAGATACGATTTGTGATCTTTTGACGTATCATTGAAAGAAATCGGTTCGGTGAGAGCTGAGAAAAAGTGGTAACAGACACAAAAAAAAAAAAAACACACATCTTAGTAAAACCAATACCTTTTCAGCTTCGCATTGAAGCTAAAGACACTATTTTTGTCTAAAAATTTTTGATTTTAAATTTTCAACTTAAAAGTGCTATAACTTTTCGAAAAATGTAATTATTAGCACAAATGTTTTTTTTCTAAATACATTATAAGTACATCTTTCATTTGACATACTTTTTATTAAAATTGGACAATTTCCCTTTATATAGGGGGCGTTCAAAACTTGAAATATTATAAAAAACATAGATCTTTTTCAACTGAACTTTTGAAAATGTTCCGGAAATACTGCGTCCTTTAAACATATATCAAATCAAAGGTTATGTTATATACTATCAAATGAAAAAAAAAAAATTTGTCCCGACATCTTATCTTCTATGTGCAAATGGCTACCATGTTCAAAAATATGCTATATTAACAAATTTTTTTTTTTTAATTAAACACTATCTACAGATTTGCATGGAAGCTTTTCTTATGATAGTGATTTTAATCACTGACAGATATCATCTATACTTGTCCCAAATATGCCACGTCCATACTGTGCCGTGACCCCACTGTGCTACCGTTTTTATTTTCCATAATAACGTACATTACATTAGATTTAATTTAATAAAAGTGTCATATTTAATTTAATAAAAATGCTACCGGTTTTTTTTTGCATAATAAAGTAAATTACATTAGCTTTAATTTAAGATATATATAAAAGTGTCAGACATTCCGGAACACTTTCAAAAGTTAAGTTGAAAAAGTTCTACTTTCTATATGCATTTTTCAGATTTGACCCCCCCCCGTATATAGGGAAATAGTCTGATTTAAAAAAAAGTATGTCGAATGAATGATGTATATAGATTCTCATGAAAAAATTGTATTGATCCATAGATTTTTTAAAAAGTTATAGCATTTTATAGTAAAAAATGTAAAATATAAAATCGAGAAATTTCACACTATAATAGCATTCGGTAGCCGTTTTTATCATGAAGACAAGTCCAGAGGTCAAATTTTTTTTTCATAATAAAGTACATTACATTAGCTTTAATTTAAGATATATATAAAAGTGTCAAACCTTCCGGAACATTTTCAAAAGTTAAGTTAAAAAAGTTAATTTTTTGTAAAAAAATTGTCATTTTAAATCCCCCCCTGTGGGCAAGTTAAGTGTCAGATTTACAAAAAATATATACCAAATGATAAATAAAGACATCAAGCATCAAAAAAAAAAAAAAATTATATTGATATGTTCATTTTTGAAAAAGTTACGGCAGTTTTTAGTAAAAAAAATTGAAAAAATTTCGAAAATTAGCGATTTTTAAATTTGAAATTTTTTTGAAGGTTTCTCCCATTTACGGGGAACGAAGAAAATTTTTGTCAATTTTTGAGGTTAATGTCTTCGACTAGATACGATTTGGGATTTTTTGACGTATCGTTGAAAGAAATCCGTTTGGTGAGAGCTGAGAAAAAGTGGTAACAGATACAAAAATAAAACACATCATAGTAAAATCAATACCTTCTCAGTTTCGCATCGAAGCTAAAAGGGATGAATTAGAATGTTTGACCTTCTAAAGTTTTCGAATTCCATCTGTAAGGACTAGTATTTTAAATTTATTTAATTTTTAAAATGTATATATATATATTTCATTTATATTAAGTATACTTAAGATCCGGGACGTTAGAGTGAGAGCGTATGCACAATATGAATAGTATAAAAGGGAATTTTATTCTGTCACAGCCTCTCTAAAAATGACGATAATTACTTGTAAATTTATTAAGAATATTATATTTAAAATATTTATACTTAAAATTTTTTATAAAAAGGGAAGAAATTAAGTCAAACTTTCAAAATTTTGTTAAAATAACTCTTATGACCTTCCCTATATACAGAGAAGGTCACTTTAGTTCAACTATAATTGAATTTATCAATGTTATGTAATCATGTTATTTGATAATTTTTAATAATTTTATATGATCAATCCTTTAAATTTTCTTGCAATAAGATTAGTGCTGATAAATTAGTTTGAATAATCACTCCAGATATGTATACTTTATAATTGCTTATTTTGTAAAATAATGCATGATCCAATTTTAAAATTTAACTACAAAATTCGATATTCTAGTACATATTTTTTAAAACATTAAAAAAATATTTTAGAAAATAATTATTTAAGAAAAATAACCATTAGTATTTTTTAAGAAATTTATAAAAATGTTATTCTGTGAATTCTTTATTTTAAAAATCTGATCTGTGGTAAAATTTTCAGGCAATTAGACTTTATGCTAAAATATCTGCTATTTGAAAATCGTTACAAAATACTGCCGATTAAATAAATGATTTTATATCGATAACTTATTTAATGTAATTCAATAATTTAAGATCAATAATTTATCTACACTAACTGGTAGAAGTAGAGAGTTAGTAGAAATATTGAACTGAAAATAAGTCAATATTTATTGTGTGCAGGAAGGGATAGAAAGCAAGAGACATAGGTGAAAGTGATAAAATAATATACTCAGGTAAGACTAATACAAATGAGATATAAAGATAATAATAAATGAGGAGATAAAAAGTAAAGTAGTAGTAGTAGTAGTCGTAGTAGTCTAATGATTATCACTTTGTAAGATGTATAAAAAAAGTGTTGGTAAGAGGGTACTATCGAGTGGTAATGATGATGTGAAAAATAAATGAAAGAGTATTTTTAAAAATTACTGAATGATGAGTATCTAAGAGAGACATTAGAGGATATCTCATGGAACGAGGGACTGGTAGATTTAATTAATGAGAAATATGTATGGGAGGAGAACACGAAGTAGGTGAAATGAGATCAGTAAAAATAAGCGCCGACATAAGTGCGGGTGGTTGAAGTGAAGAAAAGCGTCTAGTGTGTTATGCGATATAAAAATTCCAATGAGGCTGAAAGGTACACCCAAAGAAAAACCTCAATCAATTTTGATAAAAAAATTTTATCAAGGGTTTATGATAATGTTTTATTAATACGAACAAAATAATTATTCTTATAAAAAATTATTGTTCAAGACAAGAAAAAAAATTATATTGATAAATTTATCATAGATTCAATAGTAATAATATATTTATCAAATTGAACAATGAATTTATTACATAGATCGAGGTTTTTCTCTGGGTGTAAGTTCTATAAGATTATACTGAGATCAGCTATGATGTATGGTTCAGAGTGTTCGGTGGTTGACAAGAAGATAGAGGAGAGAATGAGTGTAGTGGAGATGAGAATGATTAGATGGATGAGTGGAGTGAATAGAGTATATAGCATAAGGTACGAACATAAAAGATGGAATATAGGTGTAGAGTCTATCGTGGATAAGATGAGAGAAAATCGACTTAGATGTTTTGATCATCATTACATGATTAATGAATTGAAAGCTGTGAGAAAAGTTATTGCAATGAATGTTGAAGTAAAAAGAGGTAGAAGTAGACCAAAAAGAAATGGAAGGATGTTATTAAATGCGATATGAAGATATGTATGCGTAGATGACATGATGTGGGAGATCGTGTCAAATGGAAGTTTAAGACGACCCCAAGTAGTTGGTATAAAAGTGAGGAAAAAAAAGAAGATCGATAATTTATTTAAAGTGTTAAACTTTATGCCAAAATAAGCAGTTGACTTACAAAGTTTAGGTCTTATTTACGATCTAACTACTATAGATCAAAAGCCTTATTAGCTTTGCATTTTTAAATTCACTATTTACAGTTTTGAACCTTTTTTAAAATTTTAGTTTACTATAATGTCGGTAACGCAAACCGATACCATGGAAGAACTAATAAAAAAGGGATTTGAATTTTTTGACAAACATTTCCCTGGTGGTAAAAAACCTGACAAAATGGGAGTTGGACCAGGTCGTGTTAATTTAATTGGAGAACACACAGATTACAATGAAGGTTACGTTTTGCCTATGGTAAGTAAAATGTACTAATTAATTTTTTATCAGTTAATTAAGGATGTAAATATTAACCTTTATTTAAATTATGAAAAAAGGTTAAAGAAATAATAATTACTTTATAGATGTTTTTGTAATGTTCTTATTATTAAAATTTATCTTATCAAAATAATAGTCTACATAAAGAAAATATGTTTTACATACAAACGCACTTCATGTTTATTTGATGCTATCAAACATTGTAAAATATTATATGAAAATATGTGCAACTAAAACTTGTAAATTGTTTGTCTATAGGCGCCAACTGTTTAAATAGAACAAATGTCAATTAAAATTATTTTGAATGAGTTCTAATTACGCACAGATTTAATAAAATATATGTTCTTAAATCTATACGCTATGTTATATTTTTTGTATTTATGGTAGTTTATCAAATACATAATCTGAGAATTATAGATATTATATTTTGGTATAATATATTATGGTAGTTAAAAATATTGATAATCAACTTTGTATAAATGGATTACTTTTTTGAATTGGATTTTACAAATAAGTTATAGATTTCAATATCCAGAAACTACTTAAAGATTAACTAATCAAATTAATATTTGACAGGATATTTAACCTCCTCCATAGTTCATTGATTAATGTTAGTATTTCTAAAAAAAGTTTATTTTTAGTAAGTTAGATGTCTAAAATTTTGCTAGTAAAAATTTCGTAATGATCCGTCTAATTTTCAAAAGGTTATATCAATGTTATGTGTAATCTAAAATGATTAATATCAAATGTTTTATAATAATTTAAATTTTTTAGGACATTTCTCTTCATTATGATAATATTTTTATGTCTCAGGTAAAAACTGCCGATTTTTAAATATTAATAATAAATCCTAACACCTTCAAAGTTATATAAATTTAAAGCGTAATGTTCTATCTATGTATAATACAACTTTTTTCTTCTTTAATAATTAAAGAAGAAAAAATTGACCTAAGCCACCAATTAATTATTAATTGGTAGCTTAGGTCAATATTTGTGAAACAATTTTATTTTTCATATTTTATTAATTAAATTACTTTTTTTAAACTTGTTAAAAGTGTGATATGTGATAAAAATTACTAGTCATATATTTCTACAAATAGATCAATTAATGATCACTTAGTTATTTTTTATGTATCTATTATTAAGTTTTGTGTGTTAATAATAATTTAAAATTATAATTATTTAAATAAATATCTTTTTTTAATTTATTAGATTTTCTTATTATATATAGAATGATTAATTTACTATTGGCTATTGTGTTTTTCTTTAAATAAAATTTATATTTCGTTAAGTAATATTTATTACTCAATTTATAAGTGGTTCATTTTTTTTAGATATATTCTTTATCCTTTATAAGAGTACCAACTTATTTAATCAGTATTTTAAAAGTTATGCAAATTTTTAGACCTTGGTAAGAGGAGGGGTACGACAAAGTGTTGGATGATGATTAAAATAGTATAACTTATATCTAAGTCATTTTTTTAGTTTGATCATTTATTGTTACATAAACAAGCTTATTTATTTAAATTAATATTTTTATAAGTGTAATAAAAAAAAAAAAAGAATAATAGTAAAATAAAGTGGGTATAACATCCAAAATAATGAGGAGTAATAAAATGGTGAGAAATTAATAAATATGTAAAAGGGGTAAAATTGTGGGATGGTAAATATTGGTTCAGTATGTGTTTAGCGTTGATAATGGTAACATTGTTTCCGAAATACGTATCCGCGACTTTTCATTAATTTTTTTGTGGCTTTTGAGTTTAATATTTTTAATATTTTTTAGTTTTTTTAAATTAATAATATTTTTAATATAGTTTTAATTTTACTTAATTAACTAGCCACAAGTGATCAATTTTTATTATATGAATAAATTATGTTAAACATCCCTTACAAAATTATATAACCTATCTTTATGGTTTATTACTCAATATATTTGTTTGTGGTTTGAAAGCATAAATAAAACTTGTAGATATCTTATATCCCATGTAACATAATGATATCTTAAACAATCCAACGTTGATTCTGAATTTCACACTGTGTTTTACGCGTTTTGCACCACGCTTTGTATAGTCAATATGACTGTTTAGAAAAACAATTTTAAATAATAAGTTACACTAAATCTATGACTGGTTCTTATACGCAAAATATTCTAAAACTAAATTTTTATTAGAAATAAAACTTTAACAATGTACCCTTATTTCATTTTTGTTGAAGAAGTACCTTTTTGAGTGAGCATATTTTATTGAGAGATAGATATCAATATTTCTTAAAGCTTCCTCTAGCCTGGCCAAAACAAGATTCAAAAATATTTATATCTAAGTAAAATTCTTATTAAAACCGTATTGTAGTGGCTTAATGTGTTCCGTTGCTGATGCTTTGATAGGATGCGGTACAATAATCACCAAGACAAAAAATATATTCGTAAGTTTCGTTTTTGCGTTGTCTACCAGCGCGATATTTATTAAAACAAAGACATTAGCAACATGTCTAGCTACCCAAAAAGGAATGCTCATAATGAATATTAACATTAAATGAATAATTAAAGTTGGGCTGGGTTTATTATAAATATAATATAATTTTAAAATATTTGACGTTTTTTTATTCATAATATGTGACATACATGTACAAAAGATAACATTCATATTATAAGTGATAACACAATATTACATAAGAGATAAGAGATGGGCCTAAATATTATTGAATAATTTATAAATATTTTTCTTTTTCCTCTCCTTTACTCCAACTACTTTTTATATCGCATAACACACCAGACGCTTCTCCCTACTTCAACCACCCGCACTTATTTCCTTGCTTATTATCACTGATCTCCTCATCTAACCTTCCTCGTGTTCTCCTTGATCAAACTCATATTCTATATACTCTGTCTTACCCCTACTTATTCTTAATCCCTCTTCTTTAAGAGCTAATCTCCACACCTCTAGCCTTTGATATATACTTTAATACCTTAAATATATTTCGTCTTACAAAAGAACTGATATCTATATTATTTTTACTACACAATAAATTAATACAATATATTACTATTTTTCAGAAAAATGTAGTGTATTTAAAATTTGAATATTTACAAATTAAAGATATTTAATAAAAATTTAAATCATGTTTTAAATACGTATCAAATGTGTCAAAAAAAAAAAAACGGTTTTAAACAAAACAAAGAACTTTTGTTTCGTTTTTTTTAAATAAAACTTTTATTACATTTGAAATATTTTAAATTCGTGATAATTGAGTTTTAAATTTTTGTTTTTTAAAAAGTACCATACAAAAAATGTTAATGATCTTTATGTTTGTACTACACATTTTTATCATTAGGTAGAACTATTAATTTTTAATCCGACTATACTCCTAATACAATTTTTGTAAAAGTTTAAGTATATCCCTTGTATTCTAATTGTCTCGATAATGTATGGTATATTTATAATTTATGGTAGAATTAATTTTTTTAAGGTCGGTATTGAAATCAAGTTAAGTTTAAATATATTTCTTTTATTGATAATTTTATATTTTTTCATTTTTATAGGCATTACCTATGGTGACAATCATGCTAGGTAGAACTAATGACACTGATACTTGTCGGGTTGTAACAGCATCTTCAGACATTGACTGTGCAAAGGAGTCAAATTATGCCGAATTTAAAATTCCATCCATAAAACCTTTGTCAGTAGGTGTACCAAAATGGGCAAACTATGTCAAAGGAGTGATTGCATGCTTCCAAAGTGCGTACTCATAGGCACGTACTATTTAATATATTTAAATAAGTGTCTTACATTGTTAAATTATTAAAGCATCGTATTTATGTCATTAACAAGCTTTCAGCACTTACCTTAGTAATTATGTATATTGTGAATACATAAGAAGCATAACTAATTACTCCGTAGAACAAATTTTCTAAAGATATATTATAAAATGTTAAATTATTAAATACAGAGATGTAGGAAAACCGGTACTGGTCACAAACTCTTTACATTTTTCCCTCATATTTCACTAATATATTATTTAGAGTGATAAAACTTTATATATAGATTAAAATACACTTAGGGTTTGATATAAATGTATTTAATACTAATTATTTACCATATATAGCCTGTAGTTGAAACATTCATTTTAAATTAGTTTATTACTCTTATTAAAAGACTAATTTACTTAAAAATTGATCTGATAAAGTAATATTAATATTTGTGATTCTAGACTTTAAATAAAATTATTTAAGTTGTCTTATATTAAAGATAAGGTTTTAAGACTGAGCTTATGCTAAAATTAAGATTATAAGTCTTAAATGTGTCTTAATCTATGTTTTAAGGATGAACATGTGTCAATTTGTTCTATTGGATATTTTTTTTAATTACCTGTTTTTTATAATAAATTAATATTAAAGTAATAAAAAATGTATAACCTGAATTTTAGATTTCCCTTCTTAATCACATCACATCATACGTTTAATATCAATATTAATGTTTTAGGAAAATTATTCATCAAATATATACATACATATAATAAATATTACATGATTTAGTAAAAATGATTTTATAAATTTATTAAAAAAATTTTTTTTTTGTAAAAATTGTGACATACACTGATAATTTTATAAGGACTTTTAATAGTTTTATAGATGCAGAGTGAACGAGTAAGGATAAGCTATTCATAAGCATTAATCACTAATTGGCTTAGTGCTACAATCAATTATTTTATATTTTTAGGAAAAGCAATTTACTAAATTATTTTTAATTATATCAATGGTATGAGGATTTTTCTTGTTTTAATATCTTTGTTAATAATATAATTTTAAAATTAATTTTTCACTGCAATATACAATAAATTCATATTTACTTATACTTTATGTTTGTTTAAATAGTTTACTAATCTCATCTATAAAAAAAAATTATAAAGGTCATAAACACTAATAAAACAAAAAAAAAAAAACGTAGGCTATATGTACTATAATTCTTAATACAGCATTTAGAGAATTTAAGTTAACAGAGATTAAACCTAAAGTATCTTGATAATATAAATACTTTTATAATTTTGCATTGGAATTAAATTAAGTAAATTAGTAGAAAAAATTGAAATTTATGATTTTTGCCAGTTATAGCATTAGTATTTGTAAATTAAACGTTTATAGTGTGCTTTTATATGTAGGTATAGTAGTAGGATTTGACGCAGTAATTTTATCGAGTGTGCCATTAGGTGGTGGATTGTCTAGTAGTGCATCTCTAGAAGTAGCTACTTATTCATTCATTGAAGCTATTACAGGAAATAAAACAACTCAGTAATAAGAATATTTATTGAATATTAAATAAAATAGATAAAAAAAGTATTTTTTGAATTTACTTGAGTAAAATATTTACGAATTCTTTTAGGTTAGTTAAAAAAGTTATGGTGTGTCAAAACGCTGAACACATGTTTGCAGGAGTACCATGCGGTATAATGGACCAGTTTATTTCCGTGATGGGAGTAGATGGCCATGCATTACTCATAGACTGCAAGTTTGTATCCTTCAAGTAGTTTGGTTTATTACTAAAAATTGAGTAGTCGATAAGTATTGTTTATTGTTTAATATAGTGTAATTATTGGAACGCTACCTTAAAAAGATTTCAGGATAAATATAAAATTTTACGCCTCACAATGGTCCCAAATATGATTTAAGCTGGATATAATACATAACAATCAAAGTTTTGCCTACGGTAAAAAAAATTGATTGTAAAATAAATTTTTGAGATCGTTGAATTCAAATTTTATAATAAATTTTTAACCTGCTCTAAAAGGAGAGATATGACCCCTAAATTTCGATGTTAGTCAAATTTTACCGTCATATATAAAAATTTACGTTTTTTAGGTCTGTAAATTTAAATTTGACAATTTTTTAATTATTCCTATTTTAGGGGGGTATTGTATTAATTTTATTTATTTTTTAGTGTTATATATCAAAATAAATGTTTAACTTCACTGAATTCAAAATTGACATTAATTTTACAAGTTCATCCATTTTAAGGAGAGTAAAAAATTTTCTTTTATTTAAATTATCATTCACTGGCAAAAATTATTGCAATATCATAAATATAGATTTATTCAAAACATTTCGTTACAGAAAATGAACAATTAATACGATACAACACGTTCAAATCATAATATATGAACAATTTCAGTATTGAAATTTACTTATAAATCGTTATTATACGAAGTCGATAAATTAGTATTCAACTCTATATAACTTTAAATGAGTTTTTCTTTAACAAGATATTGATGAATTATTATTTTAAAATTAGTTTAAACTCTAAATTTATAAATGTCAAATAAAACACCTTAAAATTATCTTTAGAATGATGAATTAAAATATGATAAATACAAATTTTATAACAAAAATTGAAGACATTGATAAACAAACGTTCAGTTTGTTTATTTAGTATTAGTAGATTACTAAAATGATAAGATACTTGAGCTAATAAGTTGTGGATAAACTCTTCACAGTAGAAGTTTATCTCATAGATTGGGCCTTCATATCTATTTGAATATTCTGGTTGAACCGATTAAGGGTCTCAGCAATCTTGTTTGAAGTAGGATCTTTGATTCTTAACTCTTTAGGCGTAGACAGATAGACAATTATGCCGACTGCGACCAGTCCAAGGTTGTCTAGACTTTCACTGGTAAATCGGAGAACTTGGAAGCCCTGCAGCTGGTTTTGCATGCCAAGATGACGAACTCAATTGGGTTTGGTTCAGGCTATTTGGATACAGTGGTGTTGCGTTAGTTCAATGTGCGTGTATAGTCCTTGACACACAGAAGGTTGCATTCTGAACCTGGCTTGAGTCTTATTTTTGTTGCTAAGTAACTTCAAGATTCCAGGTGGTGCTGTGCCGTGTACCTTAACTTACGGCTAAAGAGAATAGTAGTGGCGTGTTTCTATAAGCCTCTCTTGTTAAGGTCTTCGTTTTACTGGGTAAAGATGAGCTACAGTGTCTCTTGACTAATAACCTTGTCATGCGGTCCTCTTTTTTTATTGTAATAGTTAAATAGCTTGCAGTGTGGTTTTTGAAAATAAATGAGTGAATGCGAAACTCTTCGCAATATTGCCTATGGTGAACGGGGAACAAACCGATCCCCTGGACCTCCGAATGGTAAGGAGTATCTATGAATTTTTTAAGATATTACTATACTCATAATAAACAACATTAAAGGTAAAATTGAATTTGGTCTCAATGAGCGGTTCCTTTAAATTGATATCAATAGAATGTCTATCAATTATAATTAATGTTAAATAAACGATTAATTAGGGTTTCTAAGATTTCTTCCAGAGTTAGTTTCTTATATAAGAAAATTTTTTCTTACTCCCTCGTCGTTATATGACAAATCATGTAATTATTTTAGGTTCTAGAGGAGTTTTTATTTGAAAAATACTCTTGAGTACATCTCTGAAATTAGTTATTAATCAGAAATGTATATAAATCTAAACCAATATATGTTTCTATGTAAGTAAATAATTTTATTGTGATACTATGGAACCTTAGTCTCAAGCATAATTCCAAAATGTTTAACCAAGGGATTCATAATATGCATTTATACTCGTTAACATGACTCAATGTCCTTTAATAAATGAATTATACAGATATTCTTTCATTGTAAATTGTAAAAATTAGTTTTTTAATTTCAATTTGTAGAACACTACAACACGAACTAGTTCCATTCACTGATACAAATTACCTATTTTTAATTACTAATTCAAATATACATCATGAATTATCTGATGGCCAATATCAGCTAAGAAGGTTTCAATGTGAAGAAGCAAGTGATTTACTAAATGTCACTAGCCTTAGATCAGCTACATTAGACAATTTAAATAGTAGGTTATCCCAATTAATATTTTTAAACTTAGATTTGTAGAATCACTTTTTTATATTTGTTAAGGAGCTCGTGATGAGGGTAAAATCAATTTAGTAATTTATAAACGAGCTAAACATGTAATTACTGAAATTGAACGAACAAAAACAGCAGCCAATGTATTATCACAAGGAGATTATAAAAAATTTGGTGAACTTATGAACGAAAGTCATAATTCATTAAGGTAATATAATTTGAGACAAATAATTTTATTTTATTTTATTTTTAATTGAGCATGTATGATCTAAACATTAATTATTTCATAAGTTAAAAAATTTGCTATGAGCAAAGCTTTATTAATTAATTAAAAAAATTACGTGATTTTAAATTATAACTTTGCTACCTCCTACAAAAAAAAAAAACGTAACTAACAGAATAAAACAGTTTACTTATTGCATTTACTTCTATTTATCTTTTTTATCTGAAAAAATTATTCAATGACCATTTATTCATATTTTATTTATTTATATTAATTTACCACTTAATAATAATTTATAATAATTTTTACACGCGATTGTAGTGTAACCAAAAATACAGTTTTTATTATTATTAGTATTGTTCATATAAATTTCATTAAGATCAATGTTTTTTTAAATAATCATTTTATGTATTTTGAGTAAATATAAAGCAATAAATTGCTGTTAATTCAATAATACGAGAAAATCTAGAAAATTAGCAACAAATATTGTTTTTTTATATACTTTTCTAGTGTTGTTATATTTTAAAGTAATTAAGTATAATACAATCTTTATACTGCTATCATATATTTATATATAAATTTAATGAAAAATGAAATGACGTATTTAGATTTTACGTACTACAATTGTGTTCTTATTAATTGTTAATATAATTATAAAGAAAAGTTTAAACATGATAGAATAGTCAAATTTTGCACAACTCATATTAAACATCATAAAATCATTATAATAAAGTTAAAAAATATAAATTTTTATGACGATTTTATTGTGAAATTATCACTTAAATATTACTTGGTAATTATCATAAAAACTAGATGTGATAAAAAAACATCATGAAACCAGATTCAAAATCGCTATTTCATATATAACTCATATAAAAATTGTAATCAAAAGAATGTTGTCCTGTGTAGTTTGTTAGTAAATTTTTTTGGGACTTCTTTTTATATTGAACTTTTTTATATATTTTCTGTGTTTGGAATAGTAGAGGACAAAAATTATTTGCTATATACTAATATACTAAATTTTCCCATCCTAACAAATATTTTAATACAATTATAAATAATTTTCAAAAAATAATTTATTTTGGGGGAAGCTAATCTTTTAAAGGGGAGGTTAAGATTAGTAATTGCACCAGCAACTTGATTTTAGATAATTAGATTAAAAATTTACCCCGGACCTTTTAAAATCTAAATCCAGCCCTGCTATCACAACGTAGATTTTGAAACTATGAATAAAATTTATGTAATAATATATTTCAACTTCTTTACATATACTTAATACTTCGTAATTTAAAAAGTGTAGGATGAAAGGAACACATTCCCCTAGTTATAAAATTAGCTTCATAAAAATTTAAAAAAAAAACATGTATATTTAATAAAAAAATATTTTTCAATCAAGGACAAAATAAAATTTATCCCCTTCAAAACCCATCCAATAAATAGTTGAAATTAAATAATAATAATATTCCCGTGTTAATTGTAATAGCTAATATCTCCTCAAACTCTGTCTATTCTTTTTTTTTATAATGTCAAAGTGACCTATAATCTAATTTTTAAATACTTATAAGTATTTTGAATTTTATTTAATACTCACAATTGTTATGAAAATAAACTCTGTTAGAGAAGTTTGAAGTTATAATTGATAGTTTTAACTTTTTAAGATATCCATTGAGGTGGCATTTATACTAACCTTTACACAAATATAGTTTATAATACTAATACATACTAATATGTGTTTTGTATACAGGGATGATTTTGAGGTTTCTTGTCGAGAATTGGATCAATTAGTTGAACTAGCCAGAAAAGTTCCCGGTGTTTTAGGTTCTCGTATGACAGGAGGAGGATTTGGTGGATGCACTATTACATTGGTTAGATTAAATAATTATTATTTTTTATTGAGTTATCCAATTGCAAAAAAAGGTGTACAATAAAAATTATTTTGTCATTTCAATTTTTCTTGACAAATTAGCTTACAACTAGATACAAAAAAAAACAAAATTATAAAAAAAAAAATTGGACTACGTCTTTTTGCAACTGCACACAAAAACCGTTTTACAAATTTTTCTAGAGGTTTTTATTTCATAAATTTTAACGAGCCTGCATTATAAAATTCTGAGTCTTCATCTTTTTTTTATTAAAGGAAATTTTTTAATTTTTTTGATCGTCAAGTTTTTCTTAAGAAGAAAAACTACCAAAAATTATATAAAGATTTTTTTTTAATTAGTCTTGATTGAAAACTTTAATTATTAACGTCCCACCGTGCATTGAAAGTTTCCAATATCTTAGTAACAATTTTTTTATGTTTCGTGGTAACATCGTAATGTTAGCATTTAATTTTTTTTTGCTTATGACATTATTTTATAATAATATGGAATGTCACGTATTAGTTGGCAATTTTGGTTGGGGTGACTCCCTACACAAATTTCTGGTTGGACAACTAATATATGTAATACAAATTATTTTAACTATTATTATTTTGTAATTTTAATTAGGTTGAGCGAAATATAGTGGATTTGGTTGTTGACATTATCAATTCAGAATATAAACAGGATCCAAAATTTTACGTAGTGTCACCATCATGTGGTGCAAAAATATTCACATCTTTATAAATAATTTATTGTTAATATTATTTTGTATTTAAAGGTTATGGCGAAATAATCTACTCGTTTCCCACAAACTTTTTATAGTTAGGGATTAATTTTGTTGCACTATGATATAGTGCAATTAGTTTAAATACATCATAGCTTTATTCATCAAGCTTTTTGAAAAATTGCTCAACCTTTTATGTGATTGAGATTGTGTAAGTTTTATACAATTTATGTAGTTTAAACATTCATATGTTTAATTCATATTAATATTTACAACTATATTTTAATAAAGTTATATTTATGAAAATTGTGAGTAATTTATTTAATTTTCATGTTAATATTTGTAATTTAAATTGATACTTTTATTAAAACCCAGCACAGTGGGGACGTGGCATAGTTGGGTCAAATATAGATTTAATCTAATAGTGATTAAAATCACTAAAAAAAAACGCTTCGATGCAAACCTGTAGATAATATTTATTTTTAAAAAATTAATGGATTATTCCAAAAGCTATATGATCTCTTATTTTATTATTTATATTCTGATTACAAGTTTTATGGTTTATAAGTGTTACAATTACCGCCGGCCATTCACCCAGAGATTAAACAATACCTTTTTTTGCTATTAATATCAAGCTATTTAATAATATAATAAATTATGCATTAATTTCAACTAGGCAAGCGTCCCCGTACTTAAATAATATTTTACCAAAACAAATTTTACATAATATTTATAAAAACAAAAGTAAATCGATCCGACTTGCTAATTATTCTCTTCAACTCGTGTTTGATTCAAAGACGCTATCAAATGTTCGGTAGGTCGCTACAATACGATATTTCCAAATTACTCCAAATGGCAGTTGGAACTCGTATCAGCTTCGCTAATTACACGCTAATTCTCAATAGTGTGAAACAAAACCGTAATTTCAAAATATTAGACCGTTGAACAATCTATATTTTTGATTACCGATATTTTTAGTTATAAAACGAGAAGAATTATAACATGCAAAAAACACAAAGACCGCACTTAATTTACGTTGTGTAACCGATCACAGCAAAAATAGGATGAAGGTTTTTAGCAGGCGCCGTCACACTCGACGTCGCAACAGGTTGGTGGTGGAAAACGTCTGATAAGAACCAGTGTCTCCACCACGCCTTATCGCCTGGCTCGAACAATAAATGTAATGTATGCAGTGGTGCTTAAACCGGGGGCAAGGGGGCAGTTGCTCCCTTTGTCAAAATACGTGAGGGGGGGGGCAAAAGTATCATTATGCCTCCCCAATAGAATCTGATAATGAATCTGGAAATTAATATAACACTACCACACTTAATTATTTTGCTATTCATATTTTAGGATTAAAAAATGTTAATGAATTTACCTAACTCCAGTTTATATCAAAAAACGGTAGCACAGTGTAGTCGTGAGACAAGTATAGATGATATTTGATAGCGATTAAAATCAGTGTTTAATTTTAAGAAATTGGTGGATTATTCCTAAATTAACTCCTATTTTTTGTTCTACTTCGACTGCCATTTGTACATAGAAATAGATCGTGGGTACAAATTTTTTTTTTTGAACTTCTAGTACATAGTATTAGTTTTATTTTAATATATATTTAAAAGACGCAGATTTTCAAAAGTAAAATTGAAAAATTTCTACTTTTTATACATATTTTCAAGTTTTCAAACAATTATTTCTTAACTTTTAATAGGCGAAATTATCAAAATACGTATAAATTTATAATTAACGTAAGTTAGATTCATGTAAATTTTATTTTTATTGGTGAACTCATTTCTATGGCAAACCCTTTAGTAAATTAAATTAAATTTAATAAATTAAGGTATTTTAAAATAAACAAAAAAAAACGGTAGCACAGTGGGGTCGAGGCACAGTGTGGACGAGGCATAGATGGGACAAGTATAGATGATATCTGACAGTGATTAAAATCACTATCATAAGAAACGCTTCGATGCAAATCTGTAGATAGTGTTTCCTTTAGAGAAATTGGTGGAATATTCTAAGAGCAACATCAACTCTTAATTATTTAATTATATCCTGATTAGTAGTTNGAACTCTTATTTCTTTAATTATATCCTGATTAGTAGTTCTTTGATTTTAAAATATAATATATGAATAAATACTAATTATAGTTTTTAAATTTAGTATGAAATTGTGAGGCCAGCTATGATGTATGGTTCATAGTGTTGGGCGGTTGATAAGAAAGTAGAGCAGAGAATAAGTGTAGCAGAGATGAGAATGCTTAGTTGGATGAGTGGAGTGACTAGAGAAGATAAAATAAGGAACGAGTATATAAGAGTGAGTATAGGTGTAGTGTCAATTGTGGATAAGATGAGAGAAAATAGACTTAGATTGTTTAGTCATGTTATGAGGAGAGAAGAATCGGAAGCTGTAAGAACAGTTATAGAAATAAATGTTGAAGGAAGAAGAGATAGAGAAAGGCCAAAAAGGTGATGGAGGGATGCTATTGAATGCGATTTGAGGACAGCTGATGCGAGCGTAGAAGATGTGGGAGATCGTGTCAAGTGGAATCTTAGGATAAGGGTGGCCGACCCCAAGTTATTGGGATTAAGGCAAAGAAAAATAAGAAGATTACCAGAGATTTCGGTGGCAATTGACATAATATGATTGTTGTTTGGGAATGTACAATTTAACGTTTAGTTGGGTTTAAACAATATAGAGTCAAATCAATTACCTACTCTATCAGATGTATATTAATATACACTACACTTTAATGATACAATAAATAAATAAACTCACACATACACACATATGCATTTATAACATTGTGTCTAACGTAAGTGTAACATGATAAAAAGTAACCGTAAAATGAAAAAAATGGAATATAAATTTTAGTACTCATATTAAATGTAATGTAACTCGAAAAACATTTGTTTAAATGAAAAAATATAAGATAATTTTTTTATTTATAATTGTCTTTTAAACAACTTTTGTACGAATCTTTTTTTTGTAAATTAAATATTTTTTGAGAAAATTAAAAAATCTCATATTTTTGAACTTTTGCAAAGCTGTAAAAAAAAAGCTCAATTCCGAATAATGAGGACTATTAGTATGTCATTATACACATTTTAATTCAACTTTAAAAAAAAAAAAAAATTAATTTTAATGATTTACTAAATGAACCAATCGAAACAAAGTTGTTAAAAAATCTACTCAATAGCGTACTATAAAATTTGATTATAATTGTAAAAATCCATTATTAATTCAGGAGAAACTAGCAATAATTTTTTTTAGAAATGATTTATATAGCAACATGTTACCAAAAAATTTTGAATATTATAGTCTAGTAGTTGCACACACAAATAGAGTAAAAAAATTATTAAATTACAAAGTAAAATGATTTAATTTTGTAGTTGAAACCTATCATATTAAATTATCTTATCAAACTTGATTCGTCAATAAATACTTTGAAAACATTAGAAATGAATGATTTTGATTGTCTGCATGGAGAACATAGGATAAGTAAGTGTTTCATTGATAAATTACAATTTTTTTTTCAATTTTTGAGGGTAACTAATTGTAATCATTTGACGTATCGTTGAAAAATATAGGTCAAATTAGAGCAGAGAAAATAAATGATAGTCACAAAAAAATACCTTCTCAGCTATGCTACGAAGCTAAAATCTAAAATATAGTAAAATAATTTTAATACAAATAAGAAATTTCTTCTTGCAATGGGCGACTAAAGTGATGGGATCCTTGATCTTTATTGAAGTTATTGAATCTAAATGAGATAAAAATCAAACGAGTTAAAAATTTATACTAACTTAAAAAAAATTAAGAAAAAATGCAAAAAGTTCATTGCCATACGCGGGTTGGAACCTCGTACCCCAAGCGTGTAAAACATAAGTTTTACCAACTCGGCAACCGTACATTGATACCGTCGCACATAGGTCAATTTTCACGATCTACGCGGTCGAAAATATTTTTTCAATTTTATCATTTCTATTCGGTATTTACTGTTTCTATGCGGTATTATATGTCTGATTAAAGACATTTTTTTGTTCAGACATCATTTTTTTTGGTGAAATATAAGTAAAAAAAAATTGGAGTAAAGAAAAATTTTCCTCGGATGTCATAAATAAAAAACAGTGATATCTATAACAAAAATTTATTTTAGTTTACGTTACGTAATACAATTTGCATGCAAAATAAAACAAAAAATATAATAATATATGTACAGTAATTCTATATTTATTCAAGTATGGAGTAATCTTGGTCGTCATCTCTATCAAGTTCGCAGTAAGGATCTGCAGGCAATAGCATTTCAATTGTTTCGGGACAAAAACTTTTTGATATAGATGTCTTCTTGGGTCTTAGACTGCTTATTAGTGGATCTGAACTCAATAGTAATCTGTTATAAACGTCCCGATTACAGTGTTCTCTAGAAAACTTCCTAGCGAAATTCTGGCGATATATGCGGAAATGCTTATTACGTGCCTCTGCAGCCTCTTCCGACAATTGACCTATTGGTAGCAGAGCCTTTTCAATTATAGTTGCTCCATGTATTAAAATTTTATGCATAGTTGGAGTCATAGGGTGCCATCCATATAAGTCTATATACAATTTTGCGGTTTCTTTGGCGTATTCACCGTATTTTTGAGTGTCGATTCTATGGCCACTCGAAATAGTTTCTAATATAACTTTTAATCTGTAAATTAATTCGAAGTTTATACTGGTTATGTCTGCAGCCAATTGGGGATTTTCAAAAAATCTTCTACTGGTGTTACCATCATTGGTATTTCCAAAATTTGTTTTAGGCATGTCCACCAGTAATCCAGTTTCAATCCGAAACCTCTCTTGGGTGTGCTTTTTCGTTTCTGCTTCCAGTTCTTTCTCTTCGTCAGTCCTCCTCTCTCTATATTTTTTAACTGGTAATTTATATGCCAAATGTAAAACACTTTCAAACAGTCTAATTCTAGCGTGCAATACAGAGAGCCCAAAATTAAATCTAGTTGAACTTGATGTCTCCTTCTTGTCAATTTTGTTCAAGTCTTTCGATGTTGCACCACAGATATAGCACCTACTTGCAGACTTGGTTCCGGTTGCAGCATTACATATTTTCCCGTCCACCATAGTCATGTTAAAAGAATGTTTAAAAGTGAATTTGATTTCGTTCATATTTATTTCTGTTGCTTTTAGTCCTTTCACGGAGTCTTCGACGTAATTTATTTCTTCCATTGTGACATCAGTTGATTCTTTTAAAAATCTGAATCTTATTGGACGGCAAAATCGTGGGGACGAGGGCGTAGGGTTTTGCCATATTA